TGAAACAGTTAATGCTGGTTCTGATAAAAAGGTGTCAGAACACACAGTGCATCACAGTTTGTTAGTATGGAGCTGCAGAACATTCTGAACACCAGGGTGCCCAGGTGGTCAGAATGTTATGGCTGATCGGTGTATATCGTTAGTAATGATATCGTTATAATCTTTATAGAGAACTTTCAAAACCCATGTTACAAAGTGCTTCACATAAAAAAAAAACACAAGCTTTAAATCATCAATTAAAAACAAATTCAACCAGAAAAAAACATTTGGAAATAAAATTAAAGTTTGAGTAAAATCAGTGCAGGCTCTCACACAAAAGTATGTTTTAAGAAGGGATTTACAGGAGATCACTGACTTGGAATATAGGATTTCGCACAGCCCTAACTGAGACCACTTTAAAAAGAGGGTCTTGGTTCGCAACACAGGGAGCCACTGGAATGGGGCTAAAGAGCCACAGAGCATGTCCACCAACAGCTTTTTTACATTTTTTCTTCTCAGGGTTGTACCCTGTCCCCCCTACCTCCAGTCAACATCACCATCCGTTTTACCTACATTCTCCAGGACTGGCAGCAGCATTCGTGGCCACAGCAACCTCCAGGTATGCATATGCTGAACAGAGGATGATGTGGTTACACATTACCAAAAAATCTCATCGATCGCATACTGTCAGTTTGACAACAGGGCTGTCATGATATCAAAGTACAATACAAGTACAGCAATGCAATCTTGTGGTTCACAGTAAGTCTGTCTTGCATATTCATTATTTTGTTTCGTTACATAACCTTCATCATGTACATGAACAAGCATCACAGCAGCTCCTTATACTATATACAGCAGCATCCTTGTAGTAAATTAACAGCACACAGACTTCAGTGTGTTCTAAATCACTTGATAAAAGCTGTTGCTAAGCTAGGGGTGCCAGTTGGATTGTATCCGTCTTCGGTTGCTCACCAAATCTCAGTATCTAGCTGTTAGCCTAGCTTAGAACGTAAGCACAAAATACGTTCTCATTCGTTACATTAGCCATAAGGAACATTCAGCTGTAACAAGCATACATTCCTCTTTTTTGTCTGCAACCAGGTACTGTTTTGTTACAGCCAATCAGAATGTCAAGAGTTTAGTTTTAAATTTCTGATTATTAGAGACACATCTAAGAATAAAAATGTTCTCCAAGCTCGTGTTTTTTTGTGTATTTTCTTTAATGCTTATTCAGAATTATTGCTACTACTACTACACATTTTACACTGATACTGAAAATGTCAGACACAGGCAGTGCCTCCCGTCTCACTAAACGCTATAGCTCTTTCAGATGTGTCATGGCCTCCTGCTGAGCTCTGGTGTTTGTCACCTGTACACACTTAGTTTTCAATGACAACAGATTTAGTGCTGTGTGTTGCAGCTGTTTTTGCTACAGTTGTGTATTTTGTTTGGCTTTCTGACAGACTTTGACACACTCCTTGGAGGTGAGGTGGGAGGGGTGGAGTTTGGGAAGATACCATTTGGAGCCTGTGAGGAGCCAATCAGGTAAAGGCATTGTAATTCTGATTAAACAAAACGTAAATTGCTGTGTTTTCACTGTGCTTTGATTACATTTCAGTTCCAATATGAGAACTATCACATATAAGAAAACGTATTTGATGTGTTATGCCTACTTGATATCAGTGAGATCCTAGCTGGGTTTTGGCATGTGGGTGGGGTGGTTTTTTATATTTTTGTTTTGCTCTTTTTTACCTTTTTCTGTGTTTACATGAAGTAAATAAACGGTTGATCACAAGAACACGTGTCTGTGCAAAACAGAATGACTCATTTAGTCTGTTTTCGGCTGCTGTAGTGAGCTTCATCTTGCAACCACTTGGCCTCACCTGACAGAAGGCATAGTTGTGGATAATGACGTCTACAGGTAAGAGACTCCCACTGCAACAACATTTAATTGAATTCATTGAATTATATGTTTCTACGACAATTATGCCATGAACCACATGGCAAAAATAAATTAGAGATGAAGTTGTTCCATACAATTATAAAGCTTGGAACGTAATATACCTTCCCTAACAGCGGAAGACGATCAATTCAGTTAAAAAGAATAAATGAATAAAAGAGACATGAAAAATTCAAGTCATGATTATCCTGGCAAAAATAATTGTGATTCACTATATTATCCCAATAATTATCAAAATATACTTAAAATTCCTTTAAATGGCACTAAAACATACTGGAATATCTTTTCCGTACATTTTCAAATATTGTTAATCCATCACAGATAAACACCTCATTTCCCTGTTATGTATTTTGGAATCTACACTATTTCCACACATCCAGTTTAACTTTTTTTTGTGGGTCTACAACTTATGCCGCTGACAGTGGAAATCTGTTAACTTATCCATACTCGATAATAGCGTATATTGTTCCATCCCTAGTCAGAAAGCTGTTTTCTGCTCTATGAAATATGTCTATGA